CTGAAGCAGGCTCAGAAATGGAGCTGATTTGCACGACATTCATCTTCTTTCTGTTGGTCTCTCCCAGCCTTGGGATAGATGGAGAATTTGGTCAGAATTTTATCGCCATTGCTGGGCCTCTGCCCAGTGAGTTGGCAGATAAATTGGGTCTGAGGGACCAGGTGCTGCCCCAGGAGGAGCAGGGCCCTGCTGTGGCTGAAGCACATGGTTCCCTGTGCCAACAAGACCTCGTGGCTTTGGAGCTGCCCCGGTACTTCTCCCACCTTTGGGAGATCGGGGTGACGCACTACAAAGTGTTCCTGCCGTGGTCACGCATCCTTCCCAAGGGGAATGCCAGGGAGCCGGATGAAGCTCAGGTGCAGTGCTACAGGGAGCTGCTCCAGGCCCTGGTTGCTGCAGAGCTCAGCCCCGTGGTGGTCCTGCACCACCAGCGTGTCCCCGGCGCTGTGGCTGCGTGGGCCGGAGGGAGCGAAGCCGGTGCTTTTGCCAGCCTTTTTGTGGAGTATGCAGAGTTCTGCCTCCGTGCTTTTGGGGACCTGGTGGATGTGTGGGTCACCTTCAGCGACCTGCAGGAGGTCCTGCACAGCCTGCCTTACCCTGACCCCCAGGACAGAGCCCAGGCCGTGGCTGCTGCCCACAAAGGGTTTTACACCATCTTCCATGAGAAACACTCGCCGGCGGGTAAGGAGAGGGGGGACAGGGATATTTCCAATATGACTCACAAATATGTTGTGATGGGGTTGAGTGGCAACTGCCACATGCAGTCTCTGTATTTTTGTGTACCTCTTCCTGACCCACAGAGGAGAGACCAAAAACTGCCAGAAATGTGCATGGAACCATGAAAAAACAAGACACAAGAAGTCTCCTGTGAGATAACAGTAGCGTGAGGAAGTCTGCAGTGTCCTTTGGTTAACTTTCCTCATTGCAGACACTGGGGTTTTACAGTAATTAAATCTAGAATCTACCTGTGTTACACAGAGCAACAGAATTTCACCTGTTCCGTGGTGGGTACCTGGGATTTTCCAAGCAGCTGTCACCCAGGGTCTGCCTTCTCTAGCCTTGGAATTTATCTGTCTCAAACAGACAACTAGTAGAGCTGACTGAGTCAATGTTTCTTTATCCACATTTTTAATGAATGAATTTATATTTAATTCTTGCATTTGTCAGGAATGCTTTGCTGTACAGTTCACACTATCTGGTGATAGCCCTTAGAAGTTGCCCAGCTTCTCTCCTGCATCTCCTGTCCCCCAAGTTCCTGTTTCCCCAGCATCTCAGAAGCATTCAGCACAGAATGCATTTTAAAAAAATAACCACTATAGAACCACCACAAAGGCATGAAAATTAAAGATTCTACTTATAATTATGCAGGGAGTGGAAGGGCACAATTCATTGACAAAGGCTTCTTGAATTCTGCCTTTGAGTTTCTGCCTTCTGCAGCTCTCCATTGAAATCGCAGTGGGAATTCTGAAATCCCCTACCCAAGGCACTGTCTGCTCTTCCACAGCTTCAAAAATTTAACACTGGTTTTAAAATAACTGCAGTAAACTGAAGGTTTTATTTGTCCTTAATATGTTACTAACAGATTGCCTCGCTTTGCTTTCCAGGTGGAAAGCTGTCCATTGCTTTAGAAACGGGTGGTGTTTTGGACGATGCTTCTTCAGAACTGCTTTCAGTTTCTCTTCAGGTAACTTACAAAATTATATACATTTCACTTGATTTGACTTGATTTTTGTGTATGGGATCAAGTGACTTTTTGCAAGTTCATAGATTTTTTTTAAGATTTTTTAAATTTTAGGGTTTTTTTAAAGATTTTAGCAAGCTGACCGATTGACCAGTTTGGTAAGTTTTACTTATTTCATTAGTCTAATTACATGAAGCTAGCTAATTTAAAAAATTCCTTCAGCATCTTTTCTTGGCTAGTAAGCACTGATTAAGATAGATGGAGACATATTTGCTCTCATAATTGGCAATTTTAGCAATATACTTGCCTAAATGACAAGATGTCTCCAAAAAGTGTACCCGTTATCATTTGCTTTGCACCTACTTAATGCACACCAAAGATATGAATACTTTATTTTAAATAACTGCTATTTAAAAAATCTGCTGATTATGTTAAAACACAGCCTGAGCTGTGCTAGCAGTGATGTAGTTGCACGGGGAAGGCACAACATGAGGAGAAATTAATCTCTACAAAGACAGTGAAATCCTTTCTGGAAGATCAAGTTCTCTGTTCGTATTCACTCAGAGGATGTTGATGTGAACAAATGACAGTGCAGGTTTTTTGCTGTATTCATAATCCTGCAAAAATCAGTCCTGGGGTGAACAGTGTTGTAGGTGTGACATTGCAAGGATTTGAGCAAGGTGTGGTTTGTAGGGAGAGAACAGAAGTTGTGTTACACGAGCTGCCTAAACTAGAAGAGAACCTTAGACTGAAAATTAAACTGAAAGCTTATCAGTTTTCTTCCAACTTCATCAGCTGGTGAAATAAGGAAATGCAATTTGTTCCCTTGTTCCCTTGAGATTTCTGAAGTGGACTTTCCCCAAAGGGTTATTGATAAGGCCTGATCCACACCGTTGCAAAGGTTTCTCTGGTTAATCACAGACAGTCTTACTAATTAAGAAAGTCCATTGTAAATCATTAATATTATATTCATAAAATAATCCTAGAATTTAATTTAGCTGTTTAAATTTTACTTTGTTTGGAGGGAGACATACAAAACACATCTTCCCAGACAGTATCCAGTTTGAGCTCATTATATTGTCCAGGGCTCCCATGTAGCTGTATGGCTTCTTACTCCAGCAATATGTCTTTATCAAACCTTTCAGAATTTTATGTATTTTTAATGTAATACCTGCAAAAAAACCCCCACCAAAAAACATTTTACTCTAGGATGATTCTTTTCCTTTTCTTTATTCCAGGATTCAGTAGACTTTCTGTCTCTCAACCTTCAGTACCAGTGTGGAAATGAAAGAGATTTCTACAAGAAATTAGATGAATTCCAGGTAACATTATGCAAAGGGTTAAAATGAGAGCAGCAGACAACAGACCACAAATAGAAGTGGAATTTCATGTTCCTTGATACGTGTCTGAACAGTCCTGATTTTCTGGGAGAGCTCAGACAGCATCTACACTGGGAAGCAGCTGCATGGTGCTCACTTGCTTCTCTGTTGTTATTCTGACTTAAAAACACGTGTTGGAAAGTGCTGGAAAGGATCATCTTGGTCTTATTGATGCATTTATGACCGGGATGGCAGAATTCTTCTGTCCAGGATTGAAAACCTGCATTCTTAAATTCCATAAAACAGGAGTCATCCAGTATCTGAGCTGCCCATGTAGAATGCAAAAAATGCCAAGAGCATGTTTTTAGGAGCTGGCTGATGCTTCTTTTCATGCTAGTCCCTGACTTCTGTTTTCTCAGAGTTTCTGGAAGGACATAGAGATCTTGGTTTTTAGTCTGAAGTTCCTTGATTGTGCTTCCATGGAAGAGAATCCTTTCGTACCGGTAGCTGCCATTGTCACAGGTAAGTGGCATTTCAAGAAGGAGGAGAGTTTTTTAGCTAAGATCTGCATGATAAATTATAGAGGAAATTCAAAATTGTCCAATTTAGGCTGCTGCTATTAGATGAAATAATTTTATGGTCTTTCATAGCCTTCTTGGAAAATTAAGGATGGATGGTGAATGTTAAGGGAGAGGAAGCAGGAAATTCCCCCCAAAGCTTTTTGTAATTTTCATCAGCCACAAGTTGTGACGTGAGAGGTTTAGGTTAGATATAAGGAAAAATTTCTTCACTAAAAGGGTTGTCAAGCACTGGCACAGCTGCCCAGGGTGGAGTCACCATCCCTGGAGGGATTTGAAAGACGTGCAGATGTGGCACTTGGGGACACTACAACACTAGTGTTGTTTGGCAGTGCTGGGTTAGCAACTGGACTTGATAATCTTAGAGATCTTTTCCACCCTAAATGATTCCATGATTCTATGATAATTTTTTAACATGAACTTGTAAATACCCAGTAAAGAATCCAATACATCTGGTCTGAGAAAAACAGCTGTTAGTTATGAGAAGCACCTTGTTCCTCCGGGAGTAACTGTCTGTACAAGCAGTGCTGTGCAGTCCAGGGCTCCTGAGCTGGGACAGAGTCCTTCACTCACCGTTTGCTTGTTTTCAGCTCTTAATAAAGAAGGAACACGGACAATTGGATATGACACTAATGAGTTCTTGGACTACTTGTCTCATGTTTCAAGGTACAGTTTTTGATCTTTAAACCAGATAATAAAACGGTGTCTTCTAGAAATGCATGAGCAGGCAGAGGCAAGACAGTTGTAGTGGTAAAGGCTGTTGTCAGTGGCTGAAAGGGCTGGAAAGGGAAGCCCTTCTGCTGAGCCCAGTCTCTTGTGATTACAGGCAATCCTCTATCCTGCTACTAATCCCATAATATAATCCTCTTCCACTCTCTCATTCTTAGTTACCCAAATTGCACCTTCAAGCCAATAGTGACAAGTACATTTTCCAAGCCTTCTGCTCTTTTCAAGAGCAAAATAGTTATAAACAAATAAATCCAATTGAGGCTTTTCTAGGGGAGAAGCCAACTGGACCTATGGAAATGTGAGAGATGTCAGTGTGCAAGGAGGTGCTGAGGATTACAGAAGCAGGATTGATTAGTTTTAGCTTATCCCATGGAAACTCAATGAGAGCAGTTGTAGCATGTGGATTTTCTACACACTGCAGTGATTTTGTTTGTATCTCTGACCTGGCTGTAATGAATTATGAGAATCTGCCTGCAGATTAGATATCTGGCACCTGAGCTGCTCAGCGGTTACCTCACTGCCCTCCACCTGGGTGGCAGCAGCTTGGGTTGATCGGATGACAAAGAACTTATGTTCTTATGTGACCTGAATGGGAAGCAAAAAAATTAGTTTATCCTCCATGTTTGCAAGTTCTGTGGCAGTGGCATTCACCTTGGAGATTTTAACTTCTTTTTATTCCATTTCCAGCCAAACAAATACTCTACAGGAGAACCCAGCTGCTGTTGTTGCCCCTCGCTCCTCCTACCAAACAGTTTGGGAAATGTTTGCTGGACAGTCTGAACTGGAGAGGGATTCTTTTCTGCAAGATGTTTTCCCAGGTGGTTTCCTCTGGGGCACATCCACAGGTGCCTTTAACATTGAAGGAGCTTGGGCAGAGGATGGGAAAGGGGAGAGCATCTGGGATCAGTTTGGGCATGCAGGCCATGCACACCTGAACCAAACAGCAGACGTGGCATGTGACAGCTACTACAAGACCAGCTATGACATTTTCCTGCTCAGGGGTCTTCACCCCCAGCTGTACAAGTTGTCTGTGTCCTGGCCTAGGATTTTCCCTACTGGCACCAATGAGACCATCAACTCCAAAGGTGTTGATTATTACAACCAGTTAATTGACCAGTTGTTGGACTCTCACATCGAGCCCATGGTGACTCTGTTCCACTGGGATCTCCCCCAGGCTCTGCAGGCCCTTGGGGGCTGGCAGAATGACAGTGTCATAGATGCTTTTGTGAGCTATGCAGACTTCTGCTTTTCCACTTTTGGAGATCGAGTCAAGCTCTGGATCACATTCCATGAGCCCTGGGTTATCAGCTACGCTGGCTACGGCACCGGGGAGCATCCCCCAGGAATCGCTGACCCAGGAGTGGCATCTTACAAGGTAGGGACACAGGAATAACTAGGATCCTACAGCTGCTCTTGTTGTGTTGTTTTCCTCTAATGTTCTGTGCTTTAACTATGTTCAAGCCCAATGTGGCCTCTGAGACAGCTGTTTGTTGGATTTATGGTACCTGCAAAAAATGGGTTTGTTAACAGGGGCTAGATGCTGTTATTTTATTTTTCCATTCTGAAAACTGGTGTTGATGGATAGTCAGATTCTCCAGCTTATTCGTGTTGTCAAGGCTTTTTCTCTTGGATGCAGAGGCCATTTTCACATGGCAATAAGCTGAAGGCTCGAGAGCTTTTGTGTGGTGCAGTGTGACATGTGCTGCTCTGCTTTCTGCTCCCAGGTGGCTCACACAATTCTCAAGGCTCATGCCAAGGTCTGGCACCTGTACAATGACAAATACCGCTCTCAGCAGCTGGGAAAGGTGGGGCTGGTGCTGAACTCGGACTGGGCTGAGCCCAAGACTCCAGCCAGCTCTGAGGACGTGAGGGCATCTGAGAGGTACCTGCAGTTCATGCTGGGCTGGTTCGCCCACCCCATATTTGTCAATGGCGATTACCCAGAGATCCTGAAGGCTCAGATCCAGGCAGTGAACCAGCACTGCTCTACAACAGTGGCACAGCTGCCTGTGTTTACAGAGGAGGAGAAGTCCTGGGTGAAAGGGACTGCAGATTTTTTTGGCCTTTCCCACTACACTTCCCGCCTGGTCAGTGCTGGGGCTAACGAGACCTGCGCTCCAGGATACGAGAGCATTGGGAACTTCTCCTTGCACGTGGATCCTTCCTGGCCACAGGCTGCCTCTTCCTGGATCCATGTGGTCCCTTGGGGGTTGAGAAGGCTGCTGAAGTTTGTATCCCAGGAATACACAGGGACAAAGATCCCAATATACATAGCAGGGAACGGTGTGCCCACGGGAGACACGGGGGATCTCATTAATGACACCCTGAGAGTGGATTATTTCCGACGGTACATCAACGAGGCCCTAAAAGGTATGGAGAAATCAAATTATTGGATTTTTTTTAATCATGATAACTGGCTATTTTAGCCCTTCCATGGTGCTTGACTCCAAAACATCAAAGCAGAGTGATACAAGGTCAGCTGCCTGTTGTGTAGTGAGTGTGACCTCATCTACTCCAGCCTGTCTGGTGTCCAGATATGGAGCTCTCCATTCTTTTTAGATATGGGAATAGGTTTTCATAGTTGTGGATTGATGTAGTCTGGACCCTAAGATCAGTTCATATACTCCAGCTCCCCTGAAGATGATTTGCCTGCAGGATCTGGCCTGTAGAGACCTCACAGATCAGGCCTGAACTGCCAGTACTGACTCATCAGATCTAACTGGCAGCATCCTGCACCATTTCAGGTTAGAAGTTTTAGGGACACATTTATATCTTAATAATTTTTGGAAGGTTCCAGTTGTGCTTGTATCTTTGCAAGCTGTGTATCTGTTGATGTAAAAATAATATTAGTGACTCAAGTTCTGAACAGGAACAGAGATTTGAGGTTTCAAACAGAGATTTGACTGGTTCTCTTGAGAATATTCAAAACAATACTGTCAGGAAAACATTATTAAATATGCTGTGTTAAATATGTTGGTGATCAGTGTACAGCATTTGATCTTCTTGACCTAGTTCTCAACATACTGCTAGGAGTGCTAAAAGAGCTACAGAAAACACAACTTAGCATTGCTGTTGTGCCTCAGCAGTGGTAAAGAAGATGGACTGCACATGGGGAGCGAACTTTCCTGGAGAGAGAGACAGATGTAGTGCTTTTTTGCAGGCAGTGTGAGGGAGGATGCTGGACTTGCCCCTGCTGCCATTGAATACACTGTTCTGCCTTAAGAAACTCTCCTGAGCTCAGGAAAGAAAGGGAAGCACTGAATGCATGCAGTGTTTCAGTTTAACTATGGTGTTAAATCTAAAATGCACCATATACCTTAATTGATGAAATCTGCTTGAAAGCAAGAACACAGTGAAAGGGATACCAGTGGCACAAGTGTCCTATACTCAAATATCTCTTGATTAATACTTCTTAAGTCCTCACACATTTTTATCACTAAGCATTTGACCAGCTCCTGTTAGAGTGCTGACTGCTTTCCTTGCCTGATACTCATAATTGTTTGGGAGCTTTTTTAACCTAAAAACCCATTTGTAGGTGTTTGGCTTGTCACACCACCCTCAGTTGTGGTGCTTGTTGTGCTGAGCTGTGTTCAGAGAATGTTCAAGTGTGTAACAGTGTGTGGTGTTGTCTCTGTGGCAGCGGTGAAACACGACGCCGTCGATGTTCGGTCGTACGTTGCTCGGTCCCTGGTTGATGGCTTTGAAGGCCCACTGGGGTACAGCTTGAAGTTTGGGCTGCATCATGTGGACTTTGAAGACAGCAACAGAGCAAGGACTCCCAAGGCATCTGCTTATTTTTATTCCAGTGTTATTGAAAAGAATGGTTTTCCATCCGAAGCCTTGGGCAGATCTTCTGCACCGCTGGTGTTTGACCGACCCGCACCATCAAAGTTGCCAAATTTACCAGCATCAGAAGTTCCCTCCAAGGCAAAGGTTGTCTGGGAGAAGTTTTCATCTCAGACTGCCTTTGAAAGAGACATGTACTTTCATGGGACATTCCCAGAGGGCTTTACCTGGGGTGTGTCTTCTTCTGCCTACCAGATCGAGGGAGGCTGGGATGCTGATGGCAAGGGGCCCAGCATTTGGGATACCTTCACCCATGTCCCAGGGAATGTAAAGAATAATGACACTGGAGATATTGCTTGTGATAGCTACCACAAGGTGGAGGAAGATATTTACCTGCTGAGAGCCTTGGGGGTAAAGAACTATCGTTTCTCCCTGTCCTGGCCTCGAATTTTCCCCACTGGAAGGAACAACTCAATCAACAACCATGGAGTTGACTACTATAACCGTCTCATTGACGGGCTGGTCGCAAACAACATCACTCCAGTTGTCACTCTCTACCACTGGGACCTGCCCCAAGCCCTCCAGGACATCGGTGGCTGGGAAAACGATGCCCTGATTGACCTGTTTGACAGCTTTGCAGATTTCTGTTTCCAGACCTTTGGGGACAGGGTGAAATTCTGGATCACGTTCAACGAGCCCTACATCATTGCCTGGCTGGGCTATGGCCAGGGGATGTTCCCTCCCAATGTCCAAGACCCTGGCAGTGCTCCCTACAGGGTTGCCCACATCCTGCTGAAGGCCCACGCCAGGGTCTACCACACCTACGACGACAAGTACAGGGCCAGCCAGGGAGGGGTCATCGCCCTGTGCCCCTACATCCACTGGGCCGAGCCCAAGTCCCCCAGTGACCCCCGGGACGTGGAGGCCGCAGACAGGTACCTGCAGTTCATGGTGGGCTGGTTTGCACACCCCGTTTTCAAAAACGGGGACTACCCCGAGGCGATGAAGTGGAAGGTTGGGAACAGGAGTGAGCTCCAGGGGCTGCCCTCATCCCGCCTGCCGGCATTCACGGCGGAGGAGCGCGAGTACATCCGGGGCACGGCGGACGTGTTCTGCTTCAACACCTACACCTCCAAAATCATCACCCACTCCACAACCCGCCTGAAACCCCCCTCCTATGAGTATGACCAGGAAGTTTCAATCAGCACTGACAGCTCCTGGCCTTACTCAGGTCTCGAAGGCCATCGGCCCGTGGCCTGGGGGCTCAGAAGGCTCCTGAACTGGATCAAAGAGGAGTATGGAAATCCCCCCATATACGTCATTGAGAACGGGGTGGCAGTAAACACCGCATTGGATGTGGATGACAATGCCAGGATATTTTACTACAAAACATACATTGATGAAGCTTTAAAAGGTACCAGTGTTTGCTTTTGTTCTGTTGGGGTTGTGTGTCTGCTCTCTAGATTCCTGGTTCCTTTATTCCTCTGAAGAGTCGTTTCTAAAAGTGATTAATATCAGTCTTTAAATATCCTGAGCACAATATAAACATGCTGTTTCTTTTTGTGATCTCCGCTGCCTGGCTGTTTGTGCTTTTTGTCCTCCAAGTGTGAAGAGTGTCTTAATGACCTTTATGAAGCTAAAAGCAAGTGGGTTCCTCAGGGTTCATTTAATGTGTGATTATGCCACTGATGCCCTTCCTTTTGTTCCTGCTCTTTCAGCTTCCAGGTTAGATGGTGTTAATCTGAAGGGATACAACGCTTGGTCTCTCATGGATAACTTTGAGTGGACGGATGGTTATGAGCCAAGGTTTGGATTGCTCCAGGTTGATTTCAACAACCCCAACAGGCCCAGGACCCCAAAACGCTCGGCTGTGTACTACGCTGAAATCATCCGCAATAATGGGATCCCACTGCCCAAAGAGGACGAGTTTTTGTATGGAGAGTTCCCAAAGAACTTCTCGTGGAGTGTAGCAACTGCAGCATACCAGGTCAGGAAACAGGGAGGGACTCTTGGGAGTGTCTGTGGACAGTTAATTCAATTTCGATGAGACACCTACAGCTTTTGTAACATTGGATTTTACTGTAATTAAACATTGGATTTTACTGTAATTAAACATTGGGTTTTACTGTAATTAAGGGTTACTGTAGCAACTGCTCTGAAAGGGAGGAACTTGGAAGTATTTAAAGGCATGGTTATACCACAGGAAATGGGGCAACAGCATGGGCTTCATAAGATCCAACCAACACAGAGCAGCAATGAACCGAAACACTGCCTGCTCTGGGACATTGTACTTTGCTAATGTGTCTTGCCTTGAGGCCCAAGGTACAGCAAAAACATTGCTATTTCTAGTCTTAAGCTGATAAGTCAAAATATTGTGTGGCACCACAAACACTAACAAGCTGAATTCTTTGCTAGGCCAAGACCTAAATTTAGGGTTTACTAACAATTTCCCCCCTATCTTCAATTAATTGCAGATTGAGGGAGGATGGAGAGCAGATGGGAAAGGACTGAGCATTTGGGACAAGTATGCTCACACTCCCCTGAGAATCAGCAACGATGACACCGGAGATGTAGCTTGTGACAGCTACCACAAGATTGAGGAGGATGTGGAAATGCTGAAAAGCCTCAAGGTGTCTCACTATCGGTTTTCCATCTCCTGGCCCCGTGTTCTCCCAGATGGCACCACCAGGTACATCAATGAAATGGGACTGAACTACTACGAAAGGCTCATCGATGCTCTGCTGGCAGCCAACATTAAGCCTCAGGTAACTAAAACTGGTGACTTTGAGGTAACTTAGAAACAGCGGAACCCAAGTCTGGTGCTCAGAGCAATGTGTGTATTCCCATCCACACCCTTCTTCACACAGAAATTGGTTTTCATTGTTTTTCACTGCGTTCTGCAAAGAAACATGGGGGTTTGCATAAGTGGATAAACTGGGAATATAGTGATATTTTTACCCAGAAAGATCACAGTAACCTTATTGTTGGATGTTTCCAATCACCTTCTTGTCCCTCATCTCCTTGGAAGTAGAGTCCACGAGGACCTACACAGTGATCTTTCCAGACACTGAGGTGAGACTGACCAACCTGTAGTTCCCCGGATCTTCCTTCTTGCCTTTCTTGGAGACAGGTTTAACATTATTCTTTTCTAAGGAGCCAGGAATCTCCACAGGGTCACATACAATGGACAGTGACCTCAGCACTGCATCAGTCAGCTCTTTCAGCACTGGTTAGTGAGTCTGACCTGTCCCATAACCTTGTACCAGCCCAGACTGGTGCTCTGTTGGATTGTATTTCACCAGTGCAAGTGCAGCAGTTCTTCACTGAGGAGTTCTTGCTGTCACAAGGTGCTTTTTCGGTAAAAGCTCCATCTTCACCATCAGGCAGTCCGTGGAGTTTGAGTCATTTCCCCACATCCTAAAGAAACCACTGCAACAGTGGCAAAAAGGTATTTTATTTGAGTGCATGGGTGATCACCCCAAACTCCAATCACCATTAGGAACAGGTGGCCACAGGTCAAAGCACAGTTTGTGTGTTCATAGATGAGTCTGGGTTACTGTCCTTATTTCCAGAAGTGAGAGTGGCTGGTTGAGTCCTTTGTCTTGCTGTCTTTCCCCACAGGTAACTCTGTATCACTGGGACCTCCCACAGGCCCTGCAGGACGTCGGTGGGTGGGAGAATGATACAATAATTCAGAGGTTTAAGGAATATGCTGAGCTCCTTTTCCAGAGACTGGGAGATAAAGTGAAATTTTGGATAACCCTCAATGAACCCTACAACACTGCATATCTTGGCCATGGTGTTGGCACAGCTGCTCCAGGTAGGACTGCTGGGCACAACCTCAGAGCCCTGGCAGCACTGCGGGCACAGCTGGTTTGTGCTGCGGCACAGCAGATGCTTGGGGCTGGCAAAGGTAGGGCAGGGAAGGAGTTGTGGTGTGGATAGATGGGGTTTGGATTGCTGTGGGGCAGGTCCTTCTTTCACTCTGCCTGTCACCTCCAAGACCCATCCTCCTTCTCCCACTCCTCTAATCCAACCCTCCTCTGCAGCCCCTGGATTAGACGTGCTGCCTGGAGCAGACCTCAGCTCCAGGGACTGATTTCAGCCCAGGGCTGAAACATTTTGGACAGTTCTGGGTGTCCTGGGGATTGTGTTAAGCTGGGCAGCAGCCATGAGAAAGCTGGGAAGTGCTGCTCCACTGGCTGTGCTGTCCCTGTCTCTGCAGGAATCTCCACCCGGCCGGGCCGAGCTCCCTACGTGGTGGGACACAACTTGATAAAGGCCCACGCCGAGGTCTGGCACCTCTACAACGAGACCTACAGGGCCAGACAGGGAGGGTTGATCTCCATCACCATCAGCTCTGACTGGGCAGAGCCACGGAACCCACACAAGCAGGAGGACATCGAAGCCTCCAGACGGTTCATGCAGGTACAGAGACCCCCGGTCACAGCTCTCCTGCTGCTCCCAGGTGTGTTCACAGGGACAACCCCTCTCCCAGTGCTGGACACACCCAGAACCTGAAAGAAAAGGATGAGCCAGAGGCACCACTGCAGGGAAATGTATCACTCTCCTTTGGGGGCTGATTGAGTAGGCAACAGAAATGAGACAAAATACGGTTGCAGTGGCAAAAGCTTATTAAATTTACTGCCTTTATATGGGCATTGCTGGGCATCTCCATGTGCCTGTTTGTTACAAATTAAGGTATCACCTATAAAGCAGCTCGTGACAGAGATATGGTTAAATCCCTCGTTTTGATACATGATTTATCCTCCCTTATTTCCTGGTTTAGTTTCTCCTAGGTTGGTTTGCCCATCCCATTTTCAAGAACGGTGATTACAATGAGGTGATGAAGAGAAGGATTCGGGAGCGCAGCCTGGCCCAGGGCCTGAGCCAGTCCCGGTAAGAGCCCAGCACACGCCTGCCCTTGTTTCACGTGCTGTGCTCAGACCTGCAGCTTTTCTGTGATAGCAGTGCTACATTTCAATGACTCTGGTGCAGTGTTACTGTAAACAGCTTATTGTATCCTCACAGAAAACTTGTAGTGTACATTTTCATAGAACCATAGAATAGTTTGAGTTGGAAGGGACCTTAAAGATTATCTAGTTCCACAGCAGGGGGAGTTGCCTGTTCCCTGTCTGTACCTCTCTTGCAAACTAAATTTACTAATATAACACATCTTTAGGGTAATAAGTTGATACAGTGATACAGTAAATACCCTGCATTAGACACAGTACTTTACCTGACAACTCTGAAACATTTGTTTTACCTTTTCTTGAAACTGCGTACTGAACTCTGGCACTGAGAACTCATTGGTCCCTCTGAATTACATTTCTTATTTTCCATTCCCAATTCCTCCTGTTTTTTCCCATGTTCCTCCAGAAGGATCATGGTACTGGTCCCAGGGATACCAGCATTACACATGGAGTGTGTTCAGGGTGTGTTCTCTGTTTTCTCTTGCAGACTTCCAGAATTCACTGAAAGTGAAAAGCAAAGAATTAAAGGCACGTACGACTACTTTGGTCTAAACCATTACACCACAGTTTTAACATACAACCTAAACTTTCCCGGGGCTGTTCAGTCATATGACTCTGACAGGTAAGTGACACACACCTGGAGCCTGGGCCAAGTGTAAATCGATAGCAAATAAAGCTGTGAGACAGGTATTTTAAGCTGATATAACCAATACTTGGGAAAATAGCCCCAACCAGTACCGGTGGTGCTGTTATTTCCATGATAAACATGAATCTTTGAAAGAGAAAAAGGAAAATTAGAGGATCTGCTAAAGGAAAGAATCTGGACTTGTGAGTTTCTCAGTGGTTTGGAATCAACTGCAAACAGTTTTTATCATATTTCCTGCCTCCAGTCTGCAGTTTGAACTGTGAGGTTATCCTGCTTAATGGATACTGTTCCATTTGTTGTTAAATAACAAATCACTACATTGGATAAATGTGAGTTCAAAGGCTAAATAGCTAAATCACTTCATGGTTAGGTGTATATAAGTAAAGATTTTTCATTAGATACTTGATTTCATTCCCCAGCTTCAAAAGGTAAAGGATAGGAGCATATCAGTTTTCCTGATGGGAATTAAAGTAGTGGTGGGACTACACATGGAGGTGAAATTGTCTGCTTTCCGGAACGTTTCCACAGGGAATATATGGAATTGTTGTAACTTGCCTTTGCTGCTGCATCCCAGCCCCTGTGGTTTAGCCCCATAGGACCCTGGGCTCTGTCTTGCATTCCTGTCTGTGGGTATGAAGGGCAATTTTATGTGCTCAAGCACCACATGATACGTTGGAAAGTAGAATTGGCGTCACGGTGTACAAAGATTTGGAGCCAATATCACACCCTCAGCCACGGCTGATTTACACAGCAAAGCAGGAGAAGTGTTTTCTATAAAAACCACTTGTGAGTGGTTTTTAGGGTTGTGGGCACCAGCCCCAGCTCAGCCCTGGGTGCTGAGGTGCCAGGAGCTGGGACTGGTCCTCCCCAGTGTCTCCTCTGCAGGGGTGTGGCCACGGTGAGCGACCGCAGCTGGCTGGGCTCTGGCTCTACCTGGCTGAAGGTGACACCCTTTGGATTCCGGAAGATCCTGAGGTGGATCAAGGAGGAGTACAACAACCCCCCCGTTTATGTGACTGAGAATGGGATCTCGGAGAGGGGGGCCTTTGTGTTCAATGACACTCAGAGGATGCATTACTACCGGAGCTACATCAACGAGGCACTGAAAGGTAGGAGTGGTGATCAGCCAGAGCTCTGGAGAGCTGGAGACTGGGGTGGATAAACAAGGGCTGAAACACCACTGCCATCACACCTGTTACACACTCATATATAAGAGTTTACTGAATCCAATTCCAAGATCCCTTGGGCTTACCAAGAACTGCCCACGGAAGTCACAACTGTGCCAGGAAAGGGATCTAAGGGGAGAACAAACCCTGGGTTTAGCAGGGTAAGGGCAGGTTCCGTCATTAGGTGCCTCTGGCTAGAGAGGTTACACTGACAAACATTGCTTTGGCTTCTAGTTTGACTACTGCTGTGTCTAAAACCTGCATTTAAAAAAAAAAAGTAAAAAAACCAACCCCCAAACTAGTTTCAGTAATAGCAGTGCTTGAGCAACTTCAGGAAAGGGCATTTTCAGTTTGCTTTTCTGACACACTGGGAACTGCCAGCCAGGTGTTCAGGAAGTGCTCATTTACTGTGGAGTAAGGCCCCACAAACACTTGTTTCACCAACCGTTGCATTTTGATGGCTTTTCTTCTCTGTTCCCAAACCTTTGTTTCTCGGACAAAAGCTTTGATTTTTGGAGCAGAGAAAAGCAGTCTCTAGTCCTGGGCAGTGAATGAACTACCCGGGCTGTAACTTGGCAGCTGAAGTAGCACAGAGCAACTGATCTGAGTCAACAGGGGAGAGAGGTGGGAATGGGGAAAAAAGCAAAAACCAATGAGGTGGAGTGTCAGGTGTGGACGTTCTGGAGCATTTCATGCCATGGCTGGCAAGGGGTGGCACACTGACCTGTTCTCTGTGGTCCATCCCCAGCCGTGGTGCACGATGGTGTCGACCTACAGGGTTACACCGCGTGGACCCTGATGGACAACTTCGAGTGGGCCGTGGGCTTTGATGAAAGGTTTGGGCTCTACCACGTGAACTTCTCAGACCCCGCCTTGCCACGGCGCCCCAAGGCCTCTGCCAGGTACTACTCGCAGATCATAAACTGCAATGGGTTTCCAGACCCAGCAACGGGCCCACATCCCTGTCTGGAACCGGAGCCAGAAGGTAAGTGGTGCAGCAGGAATTGTGTGCTTGCATCTGATTCCAGTTCCTAAAGTCCTCCATAATCTAGTCTTTAGAGACACCATTTTGTGCAGTATTCCCTCTGAGGGCTCTTATCATCATCAGTCCTTGTTATGACTGAGGACATCCATGTACAGTGATATCATTCCTGTGTGCAAAACCAGACTGACGCTGAAATCCTATGCGAGAGCCCCTCAGCACACACCCATCTCCAACATGGAGCAAGAGAGTTATTCCGTTAGACTTTTCTCTGACTAACAACTGCCCAGGATGTGGTTTTCCAAACCACACACAGTCAGTACTCCCACATTTCTTCTAATCAGTTTTGAGTACTTTATACGTGTCAGTGTTTTGGGTAAGCCTTTGCAAATACTGATCCTTTTGTGATTTATGTTCTCTGAACTAGAGGAGGGCAATCAATAGCACCCAGCATTAGTGTGGGTGTCTGGGGATGACCGTGGATGCCTGAGAAGCCTCACCTGTGCTCAGGAATTGCACTATCAGCCTCCGCTGTGCCTTCACTCTGAGCCAGAACTGTGTCAATCCCTGATCCCCCAGAGTAGGGAACAGCACAGTGGAAAGCTCTGTGGAGGCAGGAAGCAGCAGTGCCCAAATCTGCACAGAACAGCTCCCCCAGGCTCTGTACTAACACTTGTTATTGTTTCCAGTGACACCAACAGACCCCACTCCAGGAGCAGCTGCCACCGTGAGCTTTTTGGGATTGGATTTGACGTCCCAGAGTGCGGAAATCGCCCTGTATGTGCTTTTTGCTCTTTCGGGAGTTGGAGCCTTGGCCTTGGCTCTTTTTGGATACAAATATGGAAAATTAGTCAAAAGATCCCGAAAACAATCACACATGGAACTGAAAAGTAAAATGTAATATTTCCACTTGCTCAAATGGTTGTTGGGTTTGGTTTTTCTTTAAAAAAAGTTTCTACCACCAGGAGAAGAAACTTGGTGCTCGTACTGCTGCAGCTTTGTGTCTTGCCTCAGAGATGGCTCCCCAGCATTGTGGTGTTTGCTTTTCCCAGCTTTAAAATGAAGAGGAAAATTATTTTTCTATGTTAACTGTCTTTTTTCTCCATGGGCATCGTTGCTTTGATTTTTTGAGGACCAAAGTCAAAGTGCTTGTTCCTACCTGTATATGAGGTTTCTGAGTTTCAGCAGGAACCTGTTTGTGTTTCAGCATCTTCAGTGGATCTGAGGGGAGCCCCTCAAAGCTCTACTGCTTCTTAGTGGTTTTAGGACAAGTTAGTGCCTATACTGGTGAAAACTGGTCTAGAATGTACTGTTCTAGTGCAGCTACTGCACAGATTGGGTTTTTACCCCCCTTTACGTCATGTACAGCAAGGTCATTTAAACTGGATCAAAATGTTTCTCTGCTGTGTTTTGAGTTTCCTTGCTTCCCTGTGCCACAAGAACTTCCGAGGAACTTCACGAGACAGTGATGTTTTTCTGGAAAATAGTTTATTGAGTGCTTAGGGAATTAAAAACTACAAGGTTTTGCTTGCAGTTGCAGAAGCAAGAAAAAAAGTTAAACATAAATTAGTTACCTGATTTGCTACTTATAGTGCTTCTGAAACCCTCATTTTAATCAGTCATTGTCTACCATGACCTTTATATTAATATATCTGGCCCTTAGATTCATGTAGCAGAATATTTATAGATTAAAAAGTGCCTTTCTATGGCAGAGGGTAATAATTATGAAAGCTGATGGAGGTTTTCAGTCTTTTTACTTTTTTTGCTTCTAGGTCTCACCTATACTCACTTGATTTTTCTGACATAGGTGACTCCATTCCATACTCCACCGCAGGAATAAGAATTAAGTAATTCAGTCAGTGTAAAATAAGCCCCACTTGTCCAGAACCTTTAGATCAAATAAGAGAAGAGAAGGAAAAAAAAAAAGAAGCAGCCAGATAGTAACTGCAGTTACTCAAAACTACATTTGTTGTGTAGAATTTCCATTCCAAGTATTGTTTTCATCTTCTCCATCATCTTGAGTCCTCAGTCTGTATATTTTGCCTTCTTTTTTGAAGTCTTCCCCCCGCTTTTCCACGGCTCGTTTCCTGACTGCTTGCCTAGGGCACAAAGGACACAGGTTTGAGTTTCCCCAGCAATAATTACACAAGGGAAGCAGCAGATGCAATAAACACAAATCACACATCGTTCCTTCTCTTATCCCCAGTCATGGTCTTCTTCAGCCCATGTGTCAGCAGTCAGACAAACTGACAGAATCTCATTTCCCTGTCACTGAGGAAGGCGTGGCTGCTTCACCCAGAACAGCTGTCCTGGTACAGGGCAGATCTCATGCAGTACAAACCCTGTCAGAATCTGACTCCAGCTGCCCGAGTTTCTTGTACAGTCACACCATAACCATTTGATGTCTCATTTTCAACATGCTATCTGAAGTAAAAAGTATCACACTAAGTAACAAATATCATCCTAAGCTGAAGTGAAGCCACCTTTGCAGTTACAGCTGAATTCCCCATTCATAAATGACTTTTAAAGACAATGCTTTTTCTGGTCTGTAATTGGAAGTGCAGTTCCCCACTACAAGATTAAAGCAATTCCAGCGAGTAGCTTGAGAAACAGCTGCCTTGACCACTTGTCTCACCTGCTCTGCTCGAGGCTGCTCGACGTTGAAGGGGCTGAATGGTCTGGCTGATGAGCTGCTCTCACCGCGGGCTGGGAGGGGGGTGGGCTCGTAAACAGAAAGTTGCTAATGAATCTCCAAACCGCTAAGAGGGGGTAAAGTATCGTGCCCAGGAACTTCCACAGGTCACTGCCTGAAGCCTGGACAACAGAAGTAGCAGGTCTTCCCGCCTGGTCAGGAACACACAAAGCACATTGGTCAGATATTGAAGTCGTGCTCTCATAGACAGAGTATTATACGCGTAATTTAGAAGCAGCTCAGCAGAGACACATTAAACACACAAACATCAGTGCCACCATTCATCTGCTTCAGAAAAACTCCAAGTGAATCTTGACAAAAACTAAAGTAATTTTGCAATCTGTACAGACACAGAAAAGCCCCAAATTCAAGCCAAATATTATCAGGGCTGACAAACAGCAAATACCCAGCTGCAGCAGTGCTGCCTGCAGGACAGTGAAACATGAACCGAGCCAACACCCACCGGCAGCAACACCACTGAAGCACTGGGTGCCAACTCCAGTTCCAGTAACTTCTTTCCATAATCTTCTTTGGTGAACTCCCTCCTGGGAAACATTGTCGCCAGTGAGAAATTGCCGTAAGTGTTACCAACCGTCTGGGAAAAACAGAGAGGAAACTCTTCATTTGTGTTATATTGGTAACTGTTCACTTTCAAACAACTGCTGATTTGCCAGTTGAGTATATCTTGTGTACCTTGCTAAGATTTCTTATCAAACTATCAATCATCTTCATAGTAGGATATGAGGGGATCCTTCACTCCTCCATATCTCTTACTAATGATACGCGGCAGCGATACAAAGGTGGCACTAGAAAGTGATGCTGCCAAAACCCCCTTCAAATACTCACCAAGGAGAGGAGCTGATGACAACTGCACCACAATCAACTAGCTGATGCTACACTGAGTTGTAATCGGCCTGTAGCTGAGAGAACAAACCCACAGTTTACCTGTGCAGCAAACTGCCTTGCTTCTTCCAGCCGTGCTTCCGATGGGAACTGGTTGGTGAAGGAAGATCCATCTGGGAGGCGGAACTGGATCCTGGCTATTGCACTGCAGGACATATGGGGGGCAGTCAGCACACAAACAGTTACAGACACACCCTCCTGGGGCTTTAGCTTGGTTGGACTGAAATGTGGCAGAGAGGGACAGTCATCCTGCTCCTGGCAGTGCAGATGGGTTGGATTCACAGTGGATAATCTCTTGCTTATCTCCCACCCTGCATCTCTTCCATAACTCCATCCACAGGCTCTGTAGGTCAGAGCCATTCTTAAAACAGCAGCGCTGGACAAGGCAGGAGGCAGCTCTGACAAGGTCCCAGCTAAGCCTTGCTGAATCCCAGCCCACCCTTCACCGCCCAGCAGCTGGATCAGCACCACTCTCCAGCAGTGCCACTGTCAGCCACTCTGTCCCCTCATTACCATTCACATCCTCACCTTATCCAGTCCCCCATCCAGCCCCATTACACCTGGTATTTAAATCAAAGATCAGGCAGAAAAAGCTCTTATCTAACCAAAATAACACACAAGGAAAGGTGGTGTTTCATAATCAGCAATGTCAAAAGGATAAAAGTTATCAGAGAACATAATGTTCATGAAAATAGCTACGAATTAATGTGGGAAAAAAGCCAACTTTTAATGTCACTATTTAAACAGTTTAATACTGCAACATGTTGTCAATAGATTAGGATAGATATTAAATCTCTTAAAAGCTCGTTTCTTTACCTCTCTCCCCAAAAATTTCTTTATCTCTCTCCCCTTGTTTCTCTACAGCAGCTCACCTTCTCTCCCTTTGAGCTGCTTCTTTCCTGGCCTCTAGTTCAGCCTGTTTGGCCTGAAGAGCTGCAGCTTTTGCAGCTTCTGCCTCTTCCTTGGATTTTGCAAAGCGAGCTGCTCTCTCAGCACGGTCCTGGCAGAAGGAGCAAAGAGAAACCTTAATTTTTGCTATAAATTGTTGCTTAACATTCATTCAAACAACCAGCCACAATCTGCACTCGTGAACAGACAGAACTGCACAGACAGGAGCAGAGCATATGGAGAAAAGACAGTAGTGCTGCAAAGAATTATTCACTGCCAGACTGCACAATCTTGTGTCATTAGCCACGCTTCTCATGAGTCACTTCCCACAGCCAGTTGTTAATAGATGATCTTCCCCTGCAAGTTTAATGCTCCAGGGAAGATAAAGGCAAAAATCTTATGCCAAGTTACACAACTGCAATTCTAAATGTTCTGCAGAAAAACCTAATAATGAGGAAGAATTTCAGTTGTTACAATCTATTTGCATCCATCTATGCACACACATTTACACAAACTTAGAAAATAACCCTCCCCACCATTTTGAGACTGGTATTCTTGTGTGTGTCCTACAATTAAATGTTCCCTGTGCTGCTCTTCCAGTACCATGCTTAAATGGCACTGATTTTTATGTTTAAATGATAATTCTCCACTAGGCTGAAGCAATTTGACAGAAAAGCTGGTACGTGTGTTCAGATAGAAAAGATCATCGTGAATACAAAAGCAGAAGTTTCATTTTATACACAGGAAATGCCACATAAAACCCAAACACCAAAACTGTTACGGGACTGCAAACAGAAAAATGAACAACCTCGCAGTTTCATCAACGAAAATTTATCATTTCAGTACACCAGTGGCCCTGTGAGAGAGAGGAGCAGAAGGTCTGTTCCCAAATGCCTGTTTACCATTGCAATCTGCTGCCTGATGCGCTCTCTGGCCGCCTTCTCCTCTGCCTTCTCTCTGTTCCTTTCCTCCAACATACGTTTGGTCATTTCTTCTTCCTGTCGTCTTTTGTACTCCAGCATTTCTTTGCCAGTTTTTCTCCTTTCAATTTCTTTCTTAATTTCTTTCTGAGTAGAAAGACATAAAATTGGACCACAAAACTCCCTTGGACAAGAGAAAAGACTGAAGTATATCTGTTTCAGAAGGAATTTATTCGAATAAGGGTATAAAATACCCTGCAAAGGGTTTTAAATTTTTGTGTTACCTGTTCTTCTTCTTTCCTTTTCTCTTCCTGTCTCTCTTCAAGCCTTTTCGTTAATCTAAATTTAAGAATAAAGCAAGAGGCCTTACTGCAGTATTTTAAGATGCTACGGAAGCATCTGTAAACACAGAGCAGAACCCATGGAAATGAACTGTAGCACAGTGCTGATACCCCTGTAACAGCCAGGATTCACTCACGTGGGGTGCACCACCCACACAAAGACAGGCGGGGATTCACCACCTCCTTTCCGACTTTTAGTGGAATTACAACACATTCCCTTTGTCCTTTTCCCCTCAGGAAATGAGGAATCCTACATTTTCTTACTGTTGGACCAACTTATGAAGACGTACAATAAGCAATTACTGTTTAGGACCTGTGGTAACAAACACTAAACCTCAGTCTCTTTTTAGCTATTTAAACCATCTGGTTTCTTCTGCACATCACTTCCCCAAACGGAACACAAGTAACACACAGCACTGACATAGATGCACATGCCTCTGTCTCAGCTCTCCAGAAAGGTGCCTTGGAATAAGGAGTGACTTAAACCCCAGTAATTTGTCAATGCAGATTGACAATAAAAGCCCAACATGATTTAAGTCTGGGGAAAGGGCAGCCACAGCCAAACATGAAAAGTCAGATAACCAGAAAAATCTTGTTTGTGTGGTGCTGTTTTCTTAAAAAGAACATGGTAGTTAGCACACAGCTTGGCCTCTTTTTCCCCCTTGAAACAATGCTGTAGATAAATTATGCCAGATTTGTATAATGATTAATGGATTTTTTAAAAATGCAACATTGATATTTATATTAAAATTGATTTCATTGTCTTAACAGTGTTATGTAAAAATTATCCCTGTTGTCCAATAACTTTGGAAGAAAACTGATATTAAGCAAGAAGTAGTTTTAAAACATATTTTAGCATTTAAGTATTATAATAAATATATTTAATTGTATAATTAAATAATTTTTAATATTTAAATGTTATATATTATAAATAATCTGATTTGCTAAATATGGGTAACTGGTTTTATGCTGGATATTTCAAATAGTGTCAGTCTTACTAAAATCAAGTTTATACACAAAATCCTGTATTTAAAAACAATCAATGTAATGAATGAACCATGTTTTGAACCAGATGTTTCTGATCACCATACTTCAAAATACTAAAAATAACTCATCACTGTTCACTGATCAAAGCAAAATAAGAGTCTCAGAATAGGATTCCTGTGGATTCTTCAATATCCC